CAGGTCAGGTCCTCTTTTAGGGTAACACCCAGAAACTTAAAACTGCCCACTTGTTCCACTCGGTCTCCATTGATAAGCAAGGGCTGGATGTCTGATCTGTTCCTTCTATAATCCACTATAAGCTCCTTGGTCTTCTTGGTGTTGAGGACCAAGTTATGGTCTCCACACCACGAAAGCAACCGGTCATCTCGGTAAGAAGACTCATCCCCTCCCCCGGAGATGAGTCCCACCACTGTTGTATCATCTGCAAATTTAGCAATAGTATTACTAGCGTGAGTGGGAATGCAGTCATGCACATAAAGAGCATAGAGTAATACGCAACCTTGTCATGTACCAGTGTTAAGAATAAGGGCTGAAGAGATATGATTACCTAATCTGACCCTCTGTGAGGGTCAGGAAATCCATAATTCAAAGGCAGATTGAATAATAGAATTGTGTTCCTAGCGTTCTTCTGTCAATCCTCAAAAGAGAAGAAGGAAGGGGTGGCACGAATATTCCCTGATATATTTTCCTTTATTTTAGGTAGCACGGCCTTCCTCTACCTCACAGCAAAAGAGTTTATGTGGTGTAAAAAGAGCTCCAGGACTGGCTTCGTTTTCCAGGAATTAAATATGATTCTGAATATCCCTCAATAAGAATGACCCCGGCTTTGCATTGGGTGGGGAGCCGAGTTTGACTCAATCCGATTTCATTTCCTTCTTTCGTCAAGATTTCCCAGGGACACCATTGCATTGTGTGAACGGACCCTGTCGATTCCTTCCACGGTATATCGAATCAACTTACACATCAGCATTTCTCAGCCTTGGCAAGTTTTAAGATGGGTGGACCTCAACTGGGGAATTCTGGGAGTTGAAGTCCACCCATCTTAAGCTTTCCAAGGTTGAAAAACACTATTAAGTTGTTCCCTGTTGGTCCCATGAATCTTTTATTTCATGTCCCCAGCAAGTTCTCTCTTTCAGCATCCCCCACCCACCTCCAAGATCCTCCTCCCTAGACATCCTGCTTCCCACAAGCCTAGAAACCCAGGGAGGGTGTACCTGGGACAGGAAGAGACCACTTCCCTCTCAGGAACCCCTACAAAAGCCCACTTTGGTTGCCACCCATGTGGGGCAGGGGTTATCAGAAGTCAGGACCTCATTTCCTTCTCCCCCCAACCCGTACTATAAAAGGTTGATTCCCAGCTGCAAACTCTCCCCCTTGGGTTAAATCCAGCTCCTAAATCGCATCTGGCTTGTCCTCACAAGAGGATTTTGGACTTTCAGCTGCAAAGTTGCCCAGAGGGATCTCATCCAAATGCTCACCACGCCTAACCCTGCTTAGCTTCCACACCCAGCCCTTTTTTTTTTTTAGCTGTCCCAAGTTCTGTTTTCAGCTCCCCTTATTTATTTTGCCCTCCTCCTCTTCTTCTTCTTCTTCTTCTGCCGGTGAGGCTCCAGCTTTCTGCGCCCCTCCCTTTGCCACATCTGGCTTAGCCAAAGCTTTCCTTTGTCGGCCGCGACGCTGGAAGGGGTGGGTGGGTGGAGAGCCCCCGTTTCCAAGAAGCCGGGAAGGCAGGAGGCAGCTTGCACAAGCCAAATAACGCTCTGCCTTCCCACCCAGGATAAATACACACAGTCCCGGGCTCACGTGACAGCTGCTCGTCCTTGGCTTTGAGGTAGTTCTGTTTAGTCAGCCGAGGGGTGGGGAGTGGGAGAGAGGAGTGGGAGGCCGGCGTCTATATATAGCCTCGACCCACAGGTAAATGCGTCAAGGGCCTGCTCGGTTGACGCAGCTGGCAACGCAAGAGCCCGGAATGCTTTGTGTGCGCGTGTGTTTGGGGTGTGCGCGCATGTGCACCTCCTTCCTTGGAGATTTCTGCACACACACACACACACACACACACACACACACACACACACACACACACACACACACACACACACACACACACACACACAGAGAGAGAGAGAGAGAGAGAGAGAGAGAGAGAAAGACAGAATGAGAGAGAGAGAGAGAGAGAGAGAAAGGGACAGTAGCAGAGAGATAGATACTAGCAAAAACACATACTAGCACAGAGAGAGAGAGAGAGAGAGATACTAGCAGAGAAAGACTTACTAGAAGAGAGAAAGAGACATACTAGCAGAGAGAGAGAAATGGGGAGAGAAAGAGACATATTAGGAGAGAAAGAGAGACTCCTGCTCTCTGAGTCTAAAACCAGAAGCCTTAAATTTGGACCCAATTCCTGGAAGCTTTAAAACAGCTGCCTTGCCAGATTTTTACTGCTGAGCTTGCCAGTTTGACAGGAACCCATAATTGTTGTTGTTTTTTGCCCTGCATGGGAAAAAAAAGAGAGAGAGAGAATCTGAGTTCTTATCAAGTCTGCTAGAATTTTTGGACGTGCTTGCTGGAGTAAAGGAAGGAAATCAACCTTGACTGCCCTTTGGAAGGATAGAAGCTGAAGTTGAAATGTTCCAATACTTGCCACAAAGAAGAGAGAGCCAACCTATTCTCCAAAGCACCTGAAGGATGCTAATGAGAAATTTCCTGACAGAAGAATTAATCCGTTGTGGTTAATTGTGGGGTGTTTCCACGCTGGAGGTTTTTAAGAAGGGATTGGGCAACTCTTTGTCTGAAATAGGGTTTCCTGCCTGAGCAGGGGGTTGGACTAGAAGACCTCCAAGGTCCCTTCCAACTTTTGTTATTCTGTTAAGTGTTTTGGCCACCAAATGAGAAGAGAGGACTTCTTGGAAAAGACGCTGATGTTGGGAAAGATGGAAGGCAAAAGGAGAAGGGAATGGCAGGGAATGGTGAAATCACAACACAACGAAGATAGGACACAGTGGAGGGGGGACTGGCATGCTGTGGTCCATGGGGGTCACAAAGAATCACACATGACTTATCAGCTGAACAACACAATTGGGGCAAGTGTCAACTGAACAAATGCAGAAGCTATTTTTTTCTCTCTCTTGCGTCTCCTGAGGTTTGGAGAATCTCAGAGGGATTTTGAGGAGGTTTGGGGAAAACAGGAATTGGCTTAGAAACCAAAGGATATCCTTTTCATTAACAATTTCCCCCTCCAAGCGAATCACTTCTCTCTGCATTCGCTTCAAACTATTCTACATCACTTTCATTGAAAGATGTGCCAGCTGTGTTCACAGGAGCATCTGGGCAGGTCAAAAAAAAAAGCCAAAATGGCAACCACAGCCACACAAGGAAAGTTGACATGTATAAAAATTTTTTTTAAAAGGATGGAGTTCCCCTCACAGAGCTGCTATTTGGAGTTTTATAGCCCCTTTGTAGATTCCTCTGAAAAGCAACATACAAGTTAAACCAGAGGCCTCCAACCTTGGCAACTTTAAGACTAGTGGACTTCAACTCCCAGAGTTCCCCAGTCAAGGAATTCTGGGGAGCTGAAGTCCGCAAGTCTTAAAGTTGCCAAGGTTGGAGACCCCTGAGTTAAAACACATAGCCTATGGCAGATAACCTTGTTTAGTTTTAGTTCAAGCATGCTGGCTGAGGAATTCTGGGAACTGAAGTCCACAAGTCTTATACATGTGGAGACACCCATCCTTAACAGGTCACCATAGCTCTTCTCCATGTCTTCAAACTCATTCTTTAGTGGGTCATGAGGCAAAGTATAGTAGCACCCCATATATATAGCCATATATAGTGGCACAACAGCAACTGGCAAAGCATCCTGGCTGAATCCGCATACTATCCTTTCAGTAAACATGAAAGTTCTTCCTCCGCTCCCCACCTCTGTGGATATGATGTTATTCCTCTGTGGAAATGCCTTGTGGGAGGGGAAGATCAGAGCTGGCTTGTACACCACTCCCACCCTCCAGCCTGGGAATCAACCGGGATGCCCAAGATTGGGGCCCCACCCAGCTCTGCTGGGAAAAAGAACCCCTGACCTCCACCCGGCAGCTGAACCAACAACTGGGAAGCAAACACAGTTTATTTCTGAAAGGACCAGGATCTCAGCCACCCACTGCCTGCAGCTTTCCCATCCAGGATGATATGTGTGAAATGTGTACAGCAGGGGTGGGAGTCAAATTTTTTTTACTACCCGTTTGGTGGGCTTGGCTTGGTGAATACTGCAAAATCTCCATTCCCTCCCCACCCCACTAACCTGCTTTCCAGCTCCGTTCTCCTGTGCAGGGCAATTAAAGGAGACCCAGCCGATAAGCTGGGACTCAATGGGAGGCAGAGAATAGAAGGGGGCGGAGCTAGTCAGAGGTGGGATTTGCAGGTTCTCCGAACTAAAACTTTCCGCTACCGGTTCTCCAGAACTGCTCCAGAACTTGCTGAATACCACCTCTGGTATACAGGTAGACTTACAACCATTTAAAGGGGAATATTTGTAGCTCAGGGTTGACATGAGGGGTCCTTGGTGCTCTTTGAGGTTGTAAACAGGACTAGCCCTGATGATGTTATCTAGTTGGGTAATGAAACGTCTGCAAGAAAACAAGCAACACCAAGGACCCCCTCTTGCGAACAACTTTACTTAGCGACTGTTCAAAGTTACAACAGCACTGAAAAAAGTCACTTAACAATTCTGGGAGTTGAAGTCCACCCTGACAAACACTGATGGAGACAAACCCATGTCCAAGGTTTAAACTTAATTTATGGAGGGTGATCTTGATTAGTTTTACTTCCAAGCATGTTGGCTAGAGAATTCGGGGGAATTGAAATCCACATATCTTTAAGTTGCCCAGGTTGAAAAACACAGTTAAAGATAGTCCTCATCTTAAAGTTGTCCCAGAGTTGGTATTCAGCCGGTTCTGACCAGTTCTGGAGAACCGGTAGCGGAAATTTTGAGTAGTTTGGAGAACTGATCAATCTCACCTCTGACTGGCCTGCCTGCCCCCATCTATCCTCTGCCTCCCATTGAGTCCCAGCTGATGGGCTGGGTCTTCTTTGGTTGCCCTGCACAGGAGAACGGAGCTGGAAAGCAGGTTAGTGGGGTGGGGAAGGAATGGGGATTTTGCAGTATCCTTCCCCTGCCACGCCCACCGAGCCACAACCACAGAACCGGTAGTGAAAAAAAAGGTGAATCCCACCACTGATTGTGCATATGGTCATAAGTCATGAAGGTCATAAAGCGTATCACCATTGTGACCAATCCATCTTACAGCCAAGCTTGCACTGTTGCAGTTTCCCCATGGTCACATGATCAACGTTCAGGTGTTTGGCAACCAGCAGGTATATACGATGGTTGCAGCATTCTTTCTCTCTCTCTCTCTCTCTCTCTCTCTCTGTGTGTGTATGTGTGTTAGGTGACTGCCCTATGCAAGTTTCCCAGCCGGCTTCTGACAAGCAAAGTTAATGGGGGAAGCTGGATTTGTTTAATGATCACTTAACTGCAGGGATTCACTGAACAACCATGGCAAAATAGGTTGTAAAATTAGGTGATTCTCACTTAACTGCCCTGCTTGTAGCCAACAGAAACTCTTAAGTCTCAATTGTGGTGATCATTCGAGAACTATGTGTATAATGGTAAGGGACCCTCTGTAGCGCTTTAGCCACTATTAGCCACTAGGATAGCTAGGTAGCCAGCCTTAGTCTAGAGCAGGGGTGTCCAACCTTTCACCTTCCCTGGGCCACATTAGAAGATGAAAATTTGGTTTGGGCCGCACATAAAATAAAATAACAGTAACGATACCTGATCATCCAAAAAAACCATAGAAAACATAGTTAAAATATTACATTTATTTGGAAATGAAGTTAGTGAGATGTTTTTATTATTTATTATTTATTAAAAATTATTTATATTTTATCACGGTTTATCATGGTTTATTTTCCAGCCAAATTTTGCGGGGGGGGGGGGAAGAAAGCCCACCCCCCCCCCGCCTACCTCTCCTCCTGCAAATGGCCCGGCTGGATGAGGCAGGACTGGAAGGCAGAAGCAGCGGGGGCGGCGGTGGGGGCAAAAGCGGCAGCGACGGGGGGGCAGAAGCAGCAGCAGCGGTGGGGGCAGAAGCGGCGGCGCGGGCAGAAGCGGCAGCGGGGGCAGAAGCGGCGGCGGGGGCAGAAGCGGCGGTGGGGGCAGCGGCGGGGGCAGAAGCGGCAGCAGGGGCAGAAGCGGCAGTGCCGGCGGGGGCAGCAGCGGCAGCGGCAGCAGTGGCAACAGCAGGAGGTGGCGCTCTGACAGCGCCCGCCTTTTCTGTTGCTGCTTGGCATGGTGCTCGCCTCGCGCCTGCCTCTCCTCCTCCTCCTCCTCGCTGGCTCTGGCACAAAGGTTGGGGTGGGCACTGGGCCGCATTACAAGGCGACCTGGGCCGCATGCGACCCGCGGGTTGGACAAGCCTGGTCTAGAGCAAAGGACTTCAAACTTGCCAACTTTAAGACTTGTGGACTTCAACTCCCAGAATTCTCCAGCTGGCTGGAGAATTTTGGGAGTTTGAAGTCCACAAGTCTTAAAGTTGCCAAGTTTGGGGACCCCTGGCCTAGAGGAGTCGAGCCTCAGGAGACGTCTCTTTAGCACTTTTTTCCCCATTAACCAACTTTATTAAAAAGGCATCAGCTGCAGTTCACTTCAGACATAATTCGATAAAAGGCCTTTTAATTCATCTTTGTAAAAAGTCTGCAACGCTTAGCGTCCTGCAGAGCAGGGAGACAGAACAAGGCCATTACTCTGATTAATGAGGAGGGTTAAAAAAAAAAAGTCTGCTTCAATGCTTCCCTGCAAGACAAACAAAAGGAATAAAAATATTACACAGACTCCACTGGAAGCCATTTTTGTGATAGTCTGTAAGCTGCTTGTCCGTGCAGTTTTCTCGGCTACAGATTCAGGTTGAAGGTTGTCACTGCTAAAATAATGACTGGCCCCAAGTCACCCGATTGGCTTTCGGGCCTAAAGCAGAACTGGAATTCAGGTCTGACAAAATCACTAGAAGACACCTTAGAGATCTTCTAGTCTGCCCTCTCCGCTGCCCAAGGCAATAATCCTCAGACCATCCTAGGCTGTTTCTTGGTGTCATAACCCTTGTGGTTAGGAAATTCCTTTCAAATTTGGATCTTGGTCCATAAAACTTCCAGGCCCTGCTCCTTGTCTTAGCTTTGGGCCTTATCTACATATATTAAAACTCTCCTTGTCATGAGCTTTAGCTGGACAAAATGGTGTGTCACAGGACGACAATTTTTGAAACAAGGTCACATCAAATTGACTAATGTGCTCAAAACCTGGGACAAAATCATAATTCCCAAGGGAATGATATTTGAGGAAGTTGTGGCTGCTTCATTGCTACTTGCTGATCCTGGGATGCTGTTACTGTTGCAGTCACACGGACTTCATTTTCAATGTGCAAGTGACAGTTTCCCAGTCACTCTAGCAATCCCTTGCTCACTTCCTTCCCTCTACCTCCTCCGGCAGCAGCCATTTACCTGCCTGCTATAAAGGGAAGGGAACCTTTCATGTTCCCTGCCAGATTCTCACATGGAAACTCAATAGAAAAGCCGTGGGAAGTTGGAAATTGTTCCTGCTGCGCCCACTGCTTTTTGCCTGCCTTTGGTCATTTGGTTTCTCTGTTTAGGTAAGGAAATATTTCTGTAATGACCTAATAGGGCGCAGGTTGCCTAGTGGAAAATACATCTACACTCTCTTCGCTGGGATTAGTCCTTCCTGGATTGGAAGATTATAATCATGTCTCCATTTTTTCTTTCGTAGGCTAAATATATCCAGTATTTTTCATCCTCCTTGCATTGTGGTGACCTAAATTTTATAATGCCTTGGTAAGACCAGACTTGGAATACTGCATCCAATTTTGGTTGCCATGATATAAAAAAGATGTAGAGACTAGAGTGCAGAGAATAGCCGCAAAGATGATTAGGGGACTGGAGGCCAAAACATATAAAGAATAGTTGTCGGAATTGGGTATGTCTAGTCTAATGAAAAGAAGGGCTTGGAGTGACATGATAGTAGTGTCCCAATATCTCAGGGGCTGCCCCAAAGAAGAGGGGGTCAAGCTATTCTCCAAAGCACTGAAGGCAGGAGAAGAAGCAACGGATGGAAACTAACCAAGGAGAGAAGCAACCTAGAACTAAGGAGGAATTTCCTGACAGAACAACCAGTCAGTGGAACAACTTGCCTTCAGAAGCTGTGAAGGCTCCAACACTGGAAGATTTTAAGAAGAGACTGGACAACCATTTGTCTGAAGTGATGTAGGGCAGGGGTATCAATTGCATCATCACAGCAGCATCACGTGATGTATCGGGACTTCCCTCCACCTTTGCTAAATCGGATATGGGTGTGGCCAGTGTGTGACGCATCTGTGCTACAGGCCGCAAGTTTGACAGCCCTGGTTTCCTGCTTGAGCAGGGGGTTGGACTAGAAGACCTCCAAGGTCCCTTCCAACTCTGTTATTCTCTTTCTGTCAAATGGGACACCGAGGAGTGCACGCCTAGTCTTAACTCCGTGTTCCTTCATCTTGGCAACTTTAAGAGGTGTGGACTTCAATTCCCAGAATTCTCCAGTCAGAGGAATTGCCTTAACCACAAGGCAAACTGACTCCCACCGACTGAATAACAGTGTAATAAATCAAAAACAGTTTCTTTCAGGCTGGGTAAGCCAAAAGAAAGTTGAGAGATCCTTAGTAAGACCACACCTAGAGTCCTGCATCCAGTTTTAGTCACCACATTATAAAAAAGATGTTGAGACTCTACAAAAAGTGCAGAGAAGAGCAACCAGGATGATTAGGGGACTGGAGGCTGAAACCTATGAAGAACAGTTGCAGGAACTGGGCCTGGCTAGTCTAGTGAAGAGAAGGACCAGAGGAGACATGAAAGCGGTCTTCCAATATTTGAAGGGCTGCCACAGAGAGAAAGGGGTCAAGCTGTTTTCCAAGGCCAGACTAGGAATAATGGATGGAAACTGAACAAGGAGAGATTCAACCTGGAAATAAGGAGAAACTTTCTGACAGTGAGGACAATCAACCGATGGAATAGAAGTTGCCCTCGGAAGTTGTGGGAGCGCCATCACTTGAGACTTTCAAGAAGAGATTGGACTGCCATTTGTCAGAAATGGTGTAGGGTCTTCCCCTTAGGTGGAGGGGGGGGGTTGGACTAGATGACCTACAAGGACTCTTCCAACCCTGATGATCTGTTATCTGTTTATCTGATAGAATCCCTGAAAACCTGGGGCCAATATTAGAAACTTCCGAATATTGGAAGGCGATGTTGTTTAAAACAAGCTAAATGGAAAATGATCCAATGCCAGATATAGCATATTGGTTTCCCCCCCCCCCTTTAATTAAATGCAGGTGCAATGAAAATAGAGGCTCTTTTCACAGCCTTTGCTAGTAGCAAATGCTGGCTGGGGAATTCTGGGAGTTGAAATCCCCACATGTTAAGGTTGAAAAGGTTGAACAATATTCCTCGGGGCAAACCTTTCCGTGTGGATGCGCTTTCCCTGTGGCATTCTGGCCCCCGAGGTTCTCCCTGTTGGGTTTCCTGCCTATCACGATGCGGTTAAAAGGGGGAGGGAGGGCAGGACCCCTCCCCAGACAGGAAATCCGGACCCCCTCCTTCTTTCCTGTTCCAGGCCAAGGCAGCTGCAATTGCGGCTCGCTTTAAAATAAAGCTGTTCCTATGGCAACGGAGAGGGTTGTTGTCGTCGTTTTTTTTTTTTTCCCCTGAAGTGTGAATGAATGAATTGCAGATGAATGAATTGATTTCCCTGGGTTGGGGTGGCCCCTCCCCCCTCCCCTCCCGAGTTCCCAGTTCCAGGAAGGTTCAAGCGGGAAGGATAGGAAGGTGGGGATCGAACTGGGTATCCACCCGGATACTTCTCTCGCCAGAATGTTCTTCACAGCAACCCTGGCAGGCAGCAGTTCCACGGGTCAAGCCCCTTCCTTTCCCTTTCAACACCCTGAATCCCGCGAGAATAGGTTGGGAAGTACAACTATTTCAGATCACACCGATGGGGTGTGTTGGGTGGGGTGGGGGTAAAGGTAACCTGATTTGATGTAACAGGTAACAGGACGTTTATACACTCCAGTTTCTTTTTTTCCAAACCTTTTGCGTGCAACAAAAATAACTTGCAACTCCAATCCTGGGACTCCGATCCTGGTTTTCCTGCCAACTGTATTGGGCACGGGCAGAGAGGGGAGGAGAAGCCTTGGCCCTTTCCCAGCGAGTGCAGAAGCAAAACGGGGACTGGAGTTTGCGGAAGCGGAAGGAATGGACAGAAGTCTTCTTCCAAGGTTTTTTTATTACTACAGGTAGTCCTCGACTTACAACCGTTCCTTTAGTGATTGTTCAAAGTAACAATGGCACTGAAATAATGTGATTTATGACCATTTTTCACGGTTACGAACTTTGAAGCATCCCCCGCGATCCTGTGATCAACATTCGGATGCTTGCAACTGCTTCATATTTATGACGGTCGCAGTGTCCCGGGGTCAGGTGATCCCTTTTTGCAACCTTCTGACGAGCAAAGCCAATGAGGAACCCAGATTCACTTAACAACCAGGTTACTAACTTAACAACTGCAGTGATTTACTTACTGTGGCAAGAAAAGTTGTGAAATGGCACAAAACTCAGTTAACTGTGTCACTTAGCAACAGATATTTTAGGCTCAATTGTGATCATAAGTTGAGGACTATCTTTATCTGGATATAGTGTGGTAAAATCGATTCCCTTCTGATATCAGTACTGTGGTACAAGTTGTCCTTGACTTACAACCATTCACTTAGAGACTGTTTGAAGTTATGCAGGAAAACTGACTTACAACCAGTCCTTGCACTTACGATCATCGTAGCATTCCCCATGGTCATGTGATTAAAATTTGGTTGCTTGGCAACTGGCATGTATTCACAATGGCTGCAGCATCCCAGGATCATGTGATTGCCATTTGTGACAGCCGGTTTCCAACAAGCAAAGTCAACGGGGAAGTCAGGTTCGCTTAACGACTGCACAGTTCGCTTCACAACTGCAGTGATTCGTCTAATGACCATGGCAATATATATATATATATATATATATATATATATATCACAAACTTGGATGTGGCTCAATTACCTTGCTTAGCAATGGAAATTCTGGTCCCAAATGCGGTCATAAGCCGAGGACTAACCGTATGGCTGCAATGGAGAAAATTTGCGGGACTTGGAGATGGAATTTTGCACAGGGAGAAGCTGAGCATCGTTTTAGTTCGTAAATGTCCCTGGTTTTGCTAACCTTGCTTCTTGGATAATTGGGCGCTAATTATTTATTTTGATATTCCAAATATTTACATGCTAACCAAATAATAAACTTTCTAGACCAGCCACTTATTTATTTATCCATCACATTTCTACCCCTGCAATTAATGAAATGCTTGGCAGTTGTGGTAATTAGCATCCCAATTAAAAGATTCACAGTAAGGCTAAAATTATAATTATATTAATAAGGCCTACAATATAATACACACACACACACACACACACAGATAGAGAGACACACATACATCCTGTTTTCCCCAAAATACGACTTACCTGGAAAGTAAGTCCTAGATTGATTTTTACATGTGCGTTCAATATAAGCCCTACCCCCCAAAATAAGCCCTAATTAAGATCCCACCCACTCCAGAGTGCATAGGTAAGAAGCTAGGGTGGGGAGTGGTGGAACTGCCCTACTACTTACCTTTGGACAGCTGTAGCCAGGCCTCGCACGCTCCAACACCTGCCTTGCCAGCCCATTTCTTCTGCGGCTTTCCTGAAGGCCTCTGTAGCTGAAAACAATGCTCTGGATTGATCCGGAGCTCTGTTACCGGGTGCAGAGGTCTTCAGGACAGCCTTGCCAGCCGCAGAAGAAGAAGTTCCTGAAGGTCTCTGACAGTGAAAAGGAGACCTGGGGCGATGCGCGCAAGTGAGGTTAGTCAGTGGACGACTTCCCCCGAAAATAAGACCTGGTGCCTTTTTTTGGTGGCAAAAAAATAAAATAAAAAAATAAGACAAGGTCTTACTTTTCGGGAAAACACCGTACGTACAAACAAAATTAAACAGGACTGGGCATCTTAATTAATCCCTTACAAACCCTTTGGAGTCAGAGTCTGCAAAATTTTCAGGAAGGCTAGAACAATGGAGTGAGACAAAAACGTCAAGACGGCAACCACAAAATTCCTTTCCTAGGCTCCATCCCCTTTTCCGCCTGCATTGCCTTCTTCCAACTGGCTGACAAGGGGACCATATATTTCTCAGGTTGTTTAGTTTAATGTAGCCTCTTCCCTGCCCTCCATCTCTGCCCTGTTCTATAATACAGATATTCTGCCTCGTTGTTTTGCTTTGTCCCAAGTTACTGCTTCAACATCATCGATGCTGTAAAGGAGAGGCCTCTAACCGTGGCACTTTTAACTCCCAGAATTCCCCAGCCAGCCATGGTGGGGAGATGTGATATCGCTTCAAACAGTTGCTGTGAACAGTCATAAATCAAGGACTATCTGTACAGTAATAGAGGGATGAATGACTCCATGAGGAGAGGCTCGTCATGATCTGTAACTGTAAAAAAAAGGTGATAAGGGAAAGGGGAAAGCAAGGATCTAGCCATATCTTAAATGCCTTTCCATTTTGTTCATTTGGGGAGTGGGGTTGTCTTTGAGTCAGTCTTGTTTCTTAGCTAGATTGGTTCCTTTATTTTTCTTGGCAAGTTTTTCAGAAGTGGATATCCTTGGCCTTCTCCTTCTTCCCAGGAGGACTGAATCAAAAGTACACCAGTCGGCTCCATGCACAAGGCAGGACTAGAACTCAGTGTTACTTGGTGTCTAGCGTGGCTGGCTGGGGAATTCTGGGAGTCGAAATCCACAGGTCTAAAAGTTGCCAAGGTTGGACACCCCTGCACTGTGCCAAACTTCTCTCATCCTCCCAAAAGTGCCGAGCGAAACCAGCCCTCCTAAGATGTGAGGTTTTCTACTCTGCAGAATAGAGAATAACATGAGTTGGAAGGGACCTTGGGAGGTCTTCTAGTCCAGCCCCCTGCTCAAGCAGATGACCCTATACCCGTGACGGCAAACTTATGGCACAGGTGGCACACAGAGCCATT